TTGATGACAGTGGGGGGCCGTGGGGAGCGCTTCCGACGGCTCTCTAGCCGTTTGGAGGGGAGGGGGGGGGGGGTATTTTTTACCGATAAATACTCCCCTATTTTTTAATTCACTCATCAATCTCTCTCTTAATTTCTCTTAATCTCTACTAAATTCTCTCTTTTATAATTTATACATTTTATATTTATATATATTATATAATATAAATATATAATCATATATTATTAGTATATTATATTATTATATATTTATATTATAATATATTTCGAAATTTATATTATTAATATTGTAAATTTAGAATATTATAATATTCTAAATTTCTAATATAGTGTCCTATTGTTTTATCAATATAAAAATATATTAAAATGTCGAGGGAGTCTAGTAGAAGGTCTGTAGATATGGGAGTCGTGAACCGAGGACGTTTTAACAAAGGCAAAGTTATCGCCACCTCCGAAGGTTCGAGCTCACGTGCTTCTCAATGAAGACATTCTCTCTCTTCCTTTCTTACAATCCTCAATCAATTCATGGGCGGTGCTATGAATTCGAGGTAGGGGTAGATACTGCTGTCATTCCTAGACTTTGAGAAATTTGCCCTCTAGCAGCGCCATGTGTAGATTTGTACACCGAATGTGTGCTTGTCATGTTTTAAATTTGTGTGTTCAACATGGATTAGAAGCTCTGTGGAGATTTTTTTTACCAATAATAAGGGTGGGTTAAGAAAGATTTGGGCTAGTTGTATTCATTCGAAGGAATGGAAGTCTTACTGTAAATTTAGGAATAGAAAACCAATAACATTTGCTAAAGACATTATGATTAGATGAAATAGTACGTATATATAAGTCGGTTGCACAAATTCTGGACTACAAAGAGGAACTTGCTTCGTTTCTCATGTTTGAACTTCATTATATGGTTGATTTGAGTAAATTTATTATTGTTCAAAAATTGAATGTCGTGTTAGAAGTTTTTAATAATGCAACTCTTATTTTCTCGCGTGTTTACAAACCTACGACAAACAGATTTTTTTCCAGAGTATATTACAATTGCAACATGTGTTCGTGAAAGCTTATTTGATCCAGAGTTGTACCCCTTTGTCATTCCTATGAAGGTAAATGATGTACGTATTATTAGTACATTTCTAATATTTATAGAATTGGTATTCTTTGTGATCCTCTCTTTAAGATTGATAATTTTAAAATTCTGATGGAGCATTACTAGAGTTGTTTTTAGATAAAAATAGTTATTCCTGTGATCATTTAATAGAATGGACAAAACAAAAAGATAATGCTATTGATCTTTTTGAGTCATTATTTAAAGAATTTAAAGCAATTTACGGTTATGCACCGGAAGAAGCCGCATCACCTCCGCCTTCTAAGGCGAAAAAAGTTTTAAAGGGATAGTCGATGGCCTCTTGGCAAAAAAAGTAAGTGTAGTTCTGCCTTGACGAGTTCAGGTGGTACAACTATAAGTTCGCACAACAAACTTGCTATGTACCAAGGGGTGCCATGCGATTAAGACGAAGACAACAGCAGGGCTTTCGACGTCCTCGAATGATGGAAGCGGAATGAACACATGTTCTCGTCTCTCGGAATGCTTGCCGGACAAGTCTTATCCTTGCCGATTTCAACCGTAGCTGTGGAACAAGAATTCAGTTCTAGCGACAACATTCTAAACGACTTCTGAAGTTGTCTTAGCGCTGAATCGCTTCAGACACTTGTTTGCAACCAAAATTAGCTCTTGGCAAGACGTCGAGCTCAAGAGACAGGGTACGACATTCATACCAAAAATTACATGAATGCAACCACAGAGGAAAGTCCTAGTTCCGAGTAATAAGTGAATAACTTTATTTTTTAAAAAATTGTAATTAGTTTTTTAGGTGAACGACTATATTTTTTGAACGTCGAGATAAAAGCTCTTTTGAGGCTTTTTTACAGTTCTTTACCTCGTCGGTTTTTTTGAACGTCGGGATATTAAATATAGTTAATTTTGTACTATTCATTTTTCATTATTTAAATAACAACTATATTTTTAGATATTCTAATTCATAAAAATTAAAAAGTTATAAATTTCTTTTGATTTTACGCTTACAGATTTATAAATTATCACAAAAAATATTTAAAAAAATTGAAGGCGAGACAAACCGGCCTGGTACGATGCAGGTACCGATGCCGACACCGGGACTAGTAACGGTGCCATGGGGTGGCAGTACCGAAACCGCCGGAACCAGAACCGGGCCAGAACGGTACCTTGTCCACCCCTAGGTAACGTGCACATTACCAAACCACATGGGGGTGTTGGTGCAATAAACTCTTCCACGCACGTCTAATTTTTTGTCTCATTTGTTAGCTTCGGCGCCGTCCATGGGCAATCCAACATATCGTATTGAGATTTTGTCCCTCCTAACGTTGTCCCATTTTACATCTAATGTTATATTTTTGCTTTCAAAAAAAGGAAGAGGATGATATTATATAATAAATTTTGCACTAAACACATTTCTCTTTATACTACAACAAGAATGCAAAAAAAAGGCATCATTCAGAAATATATATTTAAAAACATGGAAAGTATGATGTGAACTATGCACATGAAATTGCCTTAAATCCTTCTTTCTCTAGAACTTCAGCTATGGATATATCACCTGTCTTCACAATTCTACCATCCTCCTGAGAGAAAAAGAGAGACAGAAAAAGTAGCATTTTAAAAGGAGAAACTAAGCATTAGACATGTTCGGTACGATTCAAAATAAACACTTCGAATGCAACAATGCACGACTCAAAAGAGTTTAAGCAGTTTGTTTAGACCTTTTAATAATTTCATATTCACTATAGTATCATGTAAGAAATCAATTTATATAAATACATCTCTACACCTCGCATGCCATTACTTCACTTCAGTTTATATGAAAAATGTTAATGTGAAAGGTACCAAACGCTCCCTTACACATATATGCGTGCTATCTTTAAGTTTATGTTAATTACCATGATATGGATGAAGTGAACTTGTGGGGGATCATAGCTTATTCACTGCATTTGCCACATCTTTAAGGGCATCAACATCTAAGCCTGAATCAACTTCATCCAATATAGCCAAGTCTGCTCCAAGTGCCTGTAACCAAATACTCGGTAGTTTTTAGTATTGGCATGTGTGAATTTGTCAAATGTCACACAATTAATATATGCAAAGAAAAATGTTATCCCCCCTGTCCTTCCCCCTCCCCTCCCCTCCCAAAAAAAGGGAGGGGGGGGGGGGTTGTGCTGTTTGAACGTTTTTTGTGACCAAGAAAGAGTAGGATTTGAACAAAAGATTCTAAACGTTGTACAACATAACCATTAGGTCTGAAAAAAGAAGATGCAAAACATTGGTAATACCGCTAGTTGTAAAATCTCATTTCGCTTCTTTTCTCCACCGCTGAACCCTTCATTTACATTTCTATTCAAGAAGTCAGTCTTCATGTCAACGAGTTCAAGCTTTGAGCTAATGTATCCATAGAACTGCAAATTGAAGCTAATCAGTTTCTTCTTTGGAAAAACAGACTAAAGACTCATAAGGAAACTAAGTGTGGTCTATTTGAATGGAGGGTCTAGAGGAGAAGTATTTGGAGGGTTTACCAATTAGCACGCGAGTTTTGATCACATATTAAGAATCAATCAATTTTTATAAAATGCCAAATTCTTAAGTATAAAGATAGACAGAGCCATGTCCCTTCCAAAACCCTCCATCCAAACAGATGCTAAAGGGTACAAAGACAAGTATAATCATAAGAGATAACAATATAACACTGCCAACCATGTCTACATACCTCAATTGGACCAAGTTCTGCCAGACCAAGTTTCTTTTGCTTGGCATTGTATGCCATGTTCAGGAAATCTATATTACTAACACCTGGAATCTCAACTGGGGACTGGAAGCTCATGAAAATACCAGCTAGAGACCTTTCCTCTGGTTCCATTTCAAGCAAATTCTCTCCTTTAAATATCACACTTCCGTGCGTAATTTCATAATCCGGATGCCCAACAAGGACCTAAAGAAAAGAAGTTAGCACACGAGTTTTGAGATAATAATAATAATAATAATAAGAAGAAGAAGAAGAAGAAGAAAATAATAATAATAATAACAATAATAATAATAATAAATCTTGGTCCATCCCATAATAAACAACACACTTTTTTAGCCCCTCCCAAAATAAACAACACACTTTTTTATTCATCCCAAAATAAAAGTCAATTTTCATTTTAGTTAAGGAATATCTGGTAATCATTATTTTCTCTTTCAAATTAATTCCAAGCACACAACAACACCAACACCAAGAGCACCACCACCACCAACAACAACAACAACAACAATAATAATAATAATAATAATAATAATAATAATAATAAATTTGAAGCTCAACAAGCTACCAGTTGCATTTGGGCATTATCATAAAAAAACATAGAGAAACACACATTGGATTGAAGATGTGGTGCAAAGAGAACAGTTCATGTTCATACAACTTCACAAAATGTGGCCAAAGCTCGAAGAATACAGAATAACACATTCAGGAGAAATTAACAATCACTGACCTTTGCGAAAGTGCTCTTTCCAGAACCATTCTGCCCCATTACAGCATGAACCTAAGCAATGCCCCAAAAACAAAATTAGAATTCATACATCCATTATACAAACAACACAATGAGATATTTTCAGTTTGTGAATAGATTATAAAGTTTCTGCTTCCTTTGCATTTCAACAACCGAATCAACAAAGATTAATGGTTTGAATTTACACAATTGAGCAAATTAGGTTCCTCACCTCACCCTCGCGGACTGTTAGGTTAACTCCTTTGAGAACTGGCTGTTTTGACTTGGAGATGACTGCAGAGAGACCTTTGACTTCAAGCAATAGTTTCGAGCATCCATTGTTGTAGTCGGCGGCAGAAGGGGCGGGAGATTCAACGGCGAGAGCAGATTTAATTCTTAGGAAGCGTCGCCGTTGAGGAACAATGTGGGATGCAGTCGATTGTCAAGAATACGACGTCGATAATCTGAAGCAGTAAAGCCCAAGAGTAGCGATGGCCATGGCGAATTTGGGGGATGGAGTTACCGAAGGATGTGGAAGACACGAGCTTAGCTCTATTGAGGCTAAAGGCCCAAAAGTGAAATTAGGAAGTTAGCCCAATCATAGACTTTTTTATAGTTACTGCCTATACGAGTTTCAATTGTGTGGAGACAATAATTCAAGGTAAAATTCACTCAAATTCTTCTAGAAATTTGCAATTTTATATTAATATTCCAAAATTTAATAAATCACGACATTGCTTTCAAAATTACTCAATTTTACATCGCTACTCGAGGCTCGAGGCTGCCAACTAAGCCGAATACAGGTCAATGATGGTTGGACAATTTTCATGTGTGAGTTGACAATAAAAAGTAAAAAAAAAATAGATTAATTGCATTATAACTAGATCTAGGGGCGGGCACGGGCCAGGACGAGCCAAAAAATATGTCAATGATGGTTGGACAATTTTTATGTGTTATCTCATAAGGATAATGCTATTTGTACCTCATTTTGTACACCGCAGAGATGCATTAATATTTTGTGTTGGTGTAATGCTAATTTTTGTTAACGCGCCAACACTTTGTGTTAATACATCAATACTTTGTGTCAGTGTAAACCATCAAAATATTGGTACATATTTTTGTTGTACAAATGAGATACAAATTTTAGGGTACAGGTAAAATAGAACTCTTCAGTGTGTGGGCCGGATATATGAGCGAGTGACAGTGATGGGCCATTAACATCCACAAGTCTTCCTCTCCTCAAACTTCAATATCACTGTTGCCGTGAGGCGGTGGGGGTGATTCTTCAACCTTCTTCGTTTTCTGTTTAGGAATGGTGAACTGCTCACAGACTTTACCGGCGAGCAATGGCGGCGAGGAAACCGCAGCGCTGGATATGAGGCCGGGCGGTATGATCGTTCAGAAGAGAGACGACGTCGTCAGCGGGCCCACTTCCGCTACTGTCACCCTCAAACTCTCATATGGCTCCCAGCAACTCGACCTCTCAGTTCCATCGGATTCCACTTTCGGTAGATTTCTCTCCGCCTATCTGCTAGTCTAATTCGTTTGGTACTCTAACTTGTTTATGTTACAGTATGTTTGGGAAGTTTAATTTGAGTTGTGAGAAGTGCTTAGAGTCGGTTAGCATCTGTTAGCTTGTTTGTTGAGTGGTAGCCGGTGCGGATAAATACTCCCCCCTCTCTGTAGAAATTTTCAAGGTATTGAAATAATATCTTCTTCCTCAGTTCTATCTCTCCTGTTCATTTCTGCCATTAATGGCTGTTCTGTCTTCTTCCAAGCTCTCCTTCTAAATTTGAGCAGCTTCCTACAATACTGTAACATTGGTATCAAAACATTCTCGATTGTGAATCTATTATTGGTTTTATCAATTTATTTGGTATCAATTGAATTAGTATTGATCGTTCGTATTTTCACCGGTCTCTGATTTGTTTCCATCGCTGAGCAATCAGACCTAGACGCGTGCAAGGCTCAAAAGCCAAAGATGGAGGCTACAATCCAAAAGATGTTCGAACTACATCATGAGGAGATGAAGTGTCAGCTTCTTGAACAAAGAAATTTGATGTAAGAACACATCAAACTGCTTGCGATTCGATTACAAGATCTGCAATCATTTAGAGTCTGCCATCCATCTTCAGGAGAAAGTTCTTCTACACGTATTAAAGGTAGAAATCAGTTCCCTATCAACCCCAAATTTGATATTCCTATGTTTGTTGGACGTAACCCTAGAGAGTGGATCAAGAAGTGCACAATAAACTTTTCTCTTTGTAATATACCTGATAAGCAGAAAGTGCAATTGGCTGTGGCATATTTGAAAGGTGAAGCTGAGGTGTGGCTCAACAGTTTTAGACAAAATTGGACCAATATTGAATGGGAGGAATTCATTATTGATGTATGCACTAGATTTGATGCTGTTGACAATGATGTGGCTGAAGAATCTAAGAAGTTGTGTCAGGCTGGAAGCTTAAAGGATTACACTGATAAGTTTGAGTAATGAAAGGAGTGCAGTTGCAACAAAGACCTATGGAGGCAATAAACATTTCGGGGAAACTCTAACAGGTTTTCAAATTCTTTCAACCAGCCCACGGGGAATGCTACACCACTATTAGCTAAACCTGAACAACAACAACAACAACAACTCAGGTGAATCCCACAACAGTAGGGTCTGGGGAGGGTGTGTGTACGCATACCTTGCCCCTACTCAGAAGTAGGGAGGCTGTTTTCAAGAGACCCCCGGCTCCACCTGCACAAAAATATGGAAGGGAACACAGTATAACACAGTTAAAGCACCAAGTACAAGCAACAAGTACAAGCAATAGCAGAAGATTCCAAACAAATACAACACACTACAAAACAACCTCTACAACACCGAGCTCCTATCCAGCTACTCTAATCCTAGTTTTCCAAAGGTTCCTATCTAGGGCCATATCCTCAGTCAGGTCAAGAAGTCCTAAATCCTGCCTAATCACCTCCTTCCAATTCTTCCTAGGTCTACCCCTTCCCCTACTTCCCCCGATAACCGTAATCTTCTCGCATCTCCGTACAGGGGCGTCAGCATCCCGCCGTCTCACATGGCCAAACCATCTCAACCTCGCTTCCCGCAACTTATCTTCCACCTGTGCCATGCCTACCTGACGTCGGATAACTTCGTTCGAAATCCTATCCAACCTTGTCTTCTCACACATCCATCGTAACATCCGCATCTCCGCCGCATGCAGACGATGCACATGAGTCTTCTTAACCGCCCAACACTCTGCCCCATATAACATAGCGGGTCTGACTACGGATCGATAGAACTTACCTTTCATTCTAAGTGAAATCTTCGGATCACACAACACCCCTGAAGCTAACCGCCATTTGGCCCAAGCCACTCCAACACGATGTCCAACATCCGCATCTAACTCCCCATCAGCCTGGATTACCGAGCCAAGATATCAAAACCTGTCTACCTTAGGTACTAGGTGAGAGTCAATCCTGACTTCCACCTCTGATTCTGTATCCCGGCCGCTGAAACGACATTCCATGTATTCAGTCTTGTTCCTACTTATTCTGAATCCTTTAGTCTCAAGGGCAAGGCGCCATAATTCCAACTTATCGTTTAGTCCCTCACGTGTGTCGTCGATAATCACAATATCATCCGCGAAAAGCATGCACCATGGGACCCCTTCTTGAACACCTTGAGTTAGGACGTCCATCACCAAGGCGAACAAAAAGGGCTAGGGGCAGACCCCTGGTGCAACCCCATCCCTATCGAGAAAGAATCTGAGTCGCCCCCGGAAGTCCTTATCTTGGTCATAGCCCCATCGTACATATCCTTGATCGCGCGAGTGTACACGATGGGAACTCCCCTCGCCTCAAGGCACCTCCATAAGACCTTCCTTGGCACCCTATCATACGCCTTCTCAAGGTCAATAAACACCATATGAAGGTCCTTCTTCCTAGCCCTATACTCTTCCATTAACCTCCTCACGAGATGAATGGCCTTTGTAGTCGATCTGCCAGGCATGAAACCAAACTGGTTCTCAGAGATGCAAACCCCTTTCCGCACCCTATACTCAATGATTCGCTCCCAAACCTTCATGGTGTGGCTAAGCAGTTTGATGCCTCTGTAATTCTCGCAGCTCTGAATGTCACCTTTGCCTTTAAACAGAGGGACCAAGAGACTCTCCCTCCACTCATCAGGCATCCTTGCTGTCTGGAGGATAACATTGAATAGTTTGGTTAACCAAACCCACGCACCACGACCCGCATGCTTCCAAAACTCCACCGGAATCTCATATGGTCCCAAAGCTCTCCCACTACGCATCCCGCAGAGAGCCCGAATCACCACTTCCAGGCAAATGCGCCGGCAATACACACGAGACGCCCCGGGTTGTCCCAACTCATCCAAAACTAGCCTCTGGTCTCCTCCCGCATTTAAGAGTTCACTAAAGTACTCCCCCCCCGCGCTTAGCCACCTTGGCAGTCTCAACTAACACTCTACCATCGCTACCCTTCACGCATCTCACGCAATCCAGATCTCGGGCCTTTCTCTCACGCACCTTAGCAAGCCGGAACAGTGGATTAACACTGCCTTTCTCCTCAATATCCTTGTAGAGGCGTTCAAAAGCGGCATTCTTTGCCCTCGTTACCTCTAACTTAGCTTCTTTGCGTGCTTTCTTGTACTCCACTTGTAACGCCGCTCTTTCCTCCTCAACATTGCAGCCCATGTACCTCAAATACGCCGCCTTCTTGGCTTCCACCTTACTTCGGACTGAATCGCTCCACCGCCAATCACCCTGACGCCTACTCCTAGAGCCAAAGCTCACACCTAACACTTCCCTGACTGTTTCCCTGATGCAGTTAGCAGTCCGCACCCACATATCAGTAGCCTCTCCGGTCGATTCCCACGCACCTCTCTCCTGCACTCGCCTGGTCCACTCAGCGATATTCTCCGCACTTAGTCTCCTCCACCGGATTTGTGTGTTGCCACTCGAAGCTCTCCTATGTTTTTCCCACCTGATCATAACATCCATCACGAGAAGCTTGTGTTGGGTAGTGACATTTTCACTCGGAATTACTTTAGCATCCTTGCAGAGCACCCGATCACACCTGCGCAGGAGAAGATAGTCGATCTGTGTCGTCCACACTCCACTAACAAATGTAGCCAAATGGTCGTCTCGTTTAGGGAAACAAGAGTTAGCAACCACCATATCACTCGCTCTGGCAAACTCCAAGAGTGAAACTCCCGCTGGGTTCCTGCTGCCAAAGCCAAAACCACCGTGCACGTCCTTGAAGCCATCGGCCGACTCTCCAATATGGCCATTGAAGTCGCCTCCAATGACGACTTTCTCAGTCAGTGGAAAACCAACAACCACCCCATCCAAGGCGTCCCAAAACTCCCTCTTTACTTCGTCTGCCAGGCCAACATGCGGGGCGTAAGCACTCATGACATTGATCGCACACCCACCCAAAACCAACTTGATAAACATCAGACGATCGCTAATCCTCTTCACCTCCACCACAAACTCCCGCAGCTCCGGCGCCACCAAAATGCCGACTCCATTCCTTCCCCTAGCTGAACCTGAATACCACAGTTTGAAACCATCAACCTCTCGCGCCTTAGTGCCCACCCACCTGGTTTCTTGCACGCATGCCACCTGAATCCTTCTTCTCTTGAGAACTTGCACCAACTCAATAAACTTACCTGTGAGGGTCCCTATGTTCCATGAGCCGAAACGCACATGTGACACTACACTACCCCTCTGCGACCCTCCTACCCCCGTACCCCTTACCCCCGTCCCAACCCCGGGATATGTCCTTATAGCTACATTGCTAACCCACGCCACTACACCTACACAACAACACCAAAAAGCAAAGTAGAGACGAAGCTACTAACACAAAAACAGTAGGATACGAACCACTACTAAAGAAGATAAGAGCAACAATGCAAATAAGAGTAAAAGAGTACGGTAGTAGCACAAATAGTCAGCAATCAAAGCAACACCTTAACACACACAGTAGAGCAATAACAGCAATCAAATCACAAATCACATAAGAGCGATAAAAAGCAGTAAAAGCAATAAGAACACGGAGAAGGTTTGGGGCAGGGAAGGCCGGTGACGGAGCAAGGGTGGGGGACTGTAGCTAGGGTGTGGTGAGGGGGGGGGCTTGGTTGGGGCTGGGTTGTGTACTGACTAG